TGACTGGAGCTAGAAGTATGCTATGGAATCCTGCATGAAAAGACTATTTCTTACTGGGAGTTTAGGGTGGAAACTCAGAGAAGAGACAATATTTGAAGAGCAACTTTTAAAAAAAAACAGTGTTGAATTATCAGAGCAAGAGATGTAAGAAAAGGCATTTGATGAGGGTGTTGCCTGCACAAAAAATACAGAGTTGGGGAAGAGATTAGCAGGGAAGGGGATTGGAACACACAGCACAACTGGAGCAGAGGTAGGGTTTTAGTGGGATCAGAGACTGAAAAAGAAGCTTAGGAGAAGACCATGCAGGGCTTGAAAGGAAACGTGACCAGGTTCCACGGGCAAAGGAAGATCCTGATAGATTTAACAATGGAAGAGGAATGGAGTGAAACTACCTAGTAGTGTCAGGGGAATTTTTATTCATTATCCTAGTGTAGAGGTCAAAGAGTTCACCACAAGGAAGCCCCCTAGACAATGACAGATCAGCTTGAATTTTCCCACTGTACACATATAACACCCTGAGTCTTCTGTTACCAGTATCACTTACCCAATTTTAAGTTTCACAAAGGCAGGAATGATATCTGTTGTCTTCATTGTTATATTGACAATGCCCAGCATGTAGTAAGCTCTCAAATGCCCAGTGCACAATGTACCATAAAACACCCATCTCTCCCCTTATGTATTGTTTTATTGATAAGAAAGGACCTCACCTCAGCTTTGCAAAAAATACAGGCTCATCTCTCTTCTTTGAATGACAATGGAGTTCTTAGGGACCACCTAATTGATGAGTTTTTTACTTCTTCAATTCTACTGGAAGCCCATAGAGGTCAGAGACTAATGATCTATTTTCGTTCTTCAATCTCCCACTTCCCTAGTGCTTGTTTATCACCAGCTCTGGATCACTGAGAATCATAAAGCATGTCTTTTGAAATACGTCCATATCTTCGATACTTAAGATTGGCTCTTATTCTAATTCATTTCAGTAGCATACTTTAAATTCATAGATTACAGTCATCTACCATTTTAGAATGTATATATTTCAAAGCACCTATGTAACAAGCAAAGGGCCCATTTCTTCTTTTGAACTCACCTGCTTTTTATGATCAAAGAGAATCATGCAACCCAATGTGTCTTCTTCTTTGTTACCAGGGAGCTCAAGGGTATACATGTTGTGCTCAACTGCTGAAACTGTCATCAGCCAGGGTTTCTTAATCCATCCACTTTCTCTCTATCTTTCTATCCTGGCTCCTACTTTTTGCTTTGTCTTATGGCTTCAGTTCTTACAAATCTGTGTATTGATTTTAAGTTGCCTCAAAACATTTTTTAAGTCAGCAGTAAATATATATATATATATATATATATATATATGTGTGTGTGTGTGTGTATATGATTTGTGTATGTGTGTTCATATGCTCATATATGTATGTGTATCACATTTATGAACACACCTATATCCAATATTGAAAACCTATGTATCTGTGTATTGCCCCCATACCTTCTGCCACACCTCTCTCTCAGCTCCTGCGTCCTCTCTAGTGGTTCATTTTTGGCAATTGCAGAGGATATTGAGCTCCCCTGCAATTGGTGAATCCTAAAAAAGAATTTTCTCACTTTAGGAACCACCAGTCCATGTGCTAGAGATCTCACAGTCCATTCTGTGGGGAAGCACTGGTGGGGGGGAGGGTTTTCTAGAGCTGGTTCCTCATTTCAAGAATGGGGCTCCTTCTTAAAGGGATAACAAATTTGTTCTTTTTGCACACCAAGTCTCAGATGCTACAGTCACACCTCACTACTAATTCAAGACTAAAAGGAGGCTGATGGTCACTCCACCTGTAGAAGGACAGAGAGGTGGGGGACATCACACAATTCCTTTGTATAAGCCAAACTTCTAGAACTTTCTCTCTCCATACACAAAGTCAACACAAGCACTGACTGAGGGTCGATCATTCCTAGGCCCTGCACCAACTAATGCAGGGTGGGATGCAAAGAATCAGAAGGAAACTGGGAAAGTGCAGGCTGCCCTCAAAGACTCTCAATCTTATGGAGAAGGCAAAATTCACATGGGTGCATGCACTTGACCATCATATGTCAAGGCTATTAGTAGATAATTAGATGCAATGTTAGGGGACACGGAGATGGAGAGTTCTGGAGAGAGGATGTTGGTAGACTTGAGAGGTCTAGACAGGCTTTCCAAGAGGAGGTAAGGCAGCCTGGCAGTGGCCCAGGGGGACAAAAAGGACCTGAAGCAGTGGAAAGGGGAGGAGAACATGAAAAGAAGCCTGGGTGTTCCTGGAATATTAGCAGAGAAGAGATGAGAATGAGCACAGGGGACTTCTGAACTTGTCTTTACCCTCCCCATGTGAACTCCCACAAGTAATTTCTATTTGTTTATCTCAGTTTCCCAATTTGAGCAATGAAGGTATTGAGCTAAATCACAAGTTTCCAAATGGTGTTCCAATTTGAAGAGACCCCAGGCCATTAAAAGGTAAAATGAGCAGGTTGGGCGCAGCCCTTCTCCTTGTCCTGTCTGCTTCTGCCAAAGAAGCTCCGCTTTCTTATAGTGTTCACCCCCTGTCCAGTTTCACTTCCAGAAAGGATCTGAGAATTACTCAACAAGAAAGTTTGTGAAAGCTCTTTCCATTGGTGCATTGGGTGGCTGAATAGAAAGGAGAAAAAAGACAGCACAACGAATGGGGCCACTGGGTTGGTCAGGCTCACTCCTAGAACAGCTTGGGAGAAGAGAGTTTCAGCCAATGGGGGCAGGAATCAGGAAACTCACAGGAGGTTTGCAAGCAGAGAAGTGCCACAAGCTGCTAAGCAAACTGATCTGAAAATCTCAACTGCTCAGAAGGTTCTGAGTAAACACAAAGGTTGATTTTTCCCCCTTGTCAGCCTTCCTTCCCAGGACATTGTACTATATGCAAAACGGGTAACTGTAAGACAAACATTTTTTTCCACTGCCCTTCTAAGCCCCACAGGCCTTCAGGAAGACCTGCACTTCAAGCAAACCTTTTTTATTTTTCAACACCCACAGCTTCCATTGAACAATCAGAAGTTTTCCACTTTCATCAAAGAGAGTGAAGAGAAAGGCCGAGGGAGCAGGCTGTTCTCAGCAGCCCTGGGCAGATTACTAAATCCCCTGCTACCCACTCACTGCCCATGCCCACCACAGGACATAGCCTTCCCCCAAATCAGCCAGGTACACATGCAAAAAAATGCCCACTGGCTTGCTTGCTTCATTCCCACCTCAATTTCCAGACCAAAAGAGTGTATGTACTGACTTCATCCTAAACCAAGCCCAGATGTGGGGATCACTATATATATTATATATAGTATTCATGTACCAATATAATATATAATCACATCTATATATAACATTGTGCTGGGCATCTGAAACATACAGTGATGTATATCAATTATTTCCCAACTTGGGATTAAGGGGCTTCCGCTTCTTTGAAGGTAAAATGGGTCTACAGCCTCATACTCTATTTAGCCCAAGTAAACAATGCACTTCTGAATGGCTCTTCCATATCCAGAATCTGTGATTTTATAGATTCACTGGGAAGGAATATTCAGATCCTAGGGTCTGACCTAACTCCAGTGATGCTCAGCAGTTTGGTATCCCTGCAGAGGGATCCAAGCTTGGCTTGGGACACCACACATTTCCTAAGGAGGAACTGGGGTTTCTGCTGGCTCTCAGAGAGATCCAAAAAGTGGCTTCAGCCAAAAAGTGAGTAGAAAGGGGAGGGGGTGCTACAAAGAATTGGGTACTTCCAGATGAGGTTTTCAAGGAGCTGTACCCAGAGCACCAACTTTGCAGTGATTCACATTTCAAATGGTGTTTTGATATGCGGAGTACTAATAAGCACAGAGCTGACCAGCCCTGTCCCCTAGAGAATCTATTTATTGAATCTATCTGAATTCCAGACTGGGCCCAGGGGACCACTTCAGATGCTTAACAGGAATGGTCCAACACCACAACCAAGTCCATTCCCATTCATGAAGTACTCTTACATCACTATCCCATTTCGTCCTTACAGTGGCTGTCAAAGCACTTGGGGAGAAGAGAGGGCCATAAAGATTTGTACAAGGACCCAAGGCCAGTAAAAGGCAGGGCTGAGACCCAACCTCAGGTTTTCAACCTACCAAGTGCAGTGATAGTTCAATGATTTAGCCCGGGCTTGGGGGCTAGCCAGGTATGACTATGCACCTAAGTTATCTCATTGATCAACATTTGCAACTTGGCTTGAGACAGTTTTCATTCTCTCTGATTCTCTATTTTCCCGTCTGGAAAAAAGAAATATTACCTGCCTCTGAGGGTGGAATGAGGCCATGTGTAAAGCTCCTTGGACAGTGTCTCAAACAGCAGAGGTTCAACTATCACAGTCCCATACCTACACACCACACACAATACACAATATACACATATGCACACCACACATGCAACCACCCACATATAGCATGTGCAAACACACCCCTCACTTTTGGCATACAACCACTTCCCCACCCCCACCCTCATAACACATTCCTCCCCCTTTTTGTGAGTTTTATGACAAGCCCAGGTGATCTACAACTCTAACAATCCTGATACATTTTGCAGAAATTTTTGTTCAAAAGATCAGTGTGTCCAGATTTCCTGCTCACGAACAGTCCCTTTGGACCTTTCCCCAAATTTTATGCTGCCACAAGCTTGTTCTTCTTTGGGTAAATCTTCACATTCATGGGCTCTTCCTTCCCAGATATCTGGTAGCAGTTCAAGTTTTCAGCAGGGCCAATATTGTCAAATTGAATCCAAGGAATCCAACCTCCCTGAGGCCCAGCAAAGAGACAATTTCTGACAAGATCTTCAGATCTGCAAGCCTCCCTAAAGACAGTGTGCAGCATCTCATGCCGGAAGGCATTTTGTGGCTGAGTCTCAACGAAGCAGAAGTGACTCTGCGTGTGTGCACGCGTGCGCGCACACCTCCCCACCCCCCACCCCAGAATAGGGAAACTGTCATTTTCCTACTCGCCCTCTGACATCAGCTACCTTCTGTGTAGCTACAGTTTCTCTGCACTCAAATTAATCTCTGGCGATGAAAAATGAGCCTCTCCCCCACCCTTGCTGCTGCCTTTCACCTCACGCCCCCAGAGAAGAGCTGCTTCATGAGGCAGCTGGTGAAGGGTTTTTTCCAAGTCACATGATCCAGGATGCAGGGGAGAATCCTTCTTGGAACCGAGATGGGCCCAGAACCGAATCAGATGAGGAGAGATAAGGTGTGATGCGGGGAAGACTATATAAGAATGGGCCCAGGACTACAGCAAGCACTTAACCAAGTGGCCCCTTCTCAAGACACAACCATGCAGGAGCCAACAGGCTCCGTCACCAGCCACCTGGGAACCACTAGCCGCAGTTATTTCTATTTCACCACCACCACACTGGCGCTGTGTCTCGTCCTTGCTGTGGCGACCATCATGGTGTTGGTAGTGCAGAAGACGGTAAGTGGACTTCTCTTCCTCGCCTTTCCTTTCTGATTTATATTCAGTTTTCCCCAGAGAGAAAGCCTTGGTAATAGACTATAAATGAATGGAGAGGTTAAAACAAAAAGTACATCTATCATGTAGTGAAAGGGAGAAAAAAATGGGAACTTAACTCTGAAATACATGGCTTTTTGAAAGAAAAATGTTTTTAGCCATCATCTCAAAACTTTCCAGACTCCCATGAGCCAAAAGAGGGCAGAAGAGCTATAGGCTTTGAAAGATTAAGGTTTTAACCTTGCAGAGACAGAGACGCATATCCAGGAGGGAAGCAACAAGGAAACCAGGTTTGGTAACCTATTTGCACAACTTACTATTTTGCCTTTGAGGTCTTTGGACAAGATTCTTAGGTTCTGTATTTTCAGTCCAAATGTTTTTCAGATTTCTGAGGCCTCATCCATTTCCAGGGGCTTTTTGTTTTTTTTTAAACAAGGATCTCAGTTTCAGAGGCTGAGGTCGGTAAGGGAAGGAGGTGAAAGAGAAGACCAGGGCTGCTTAGAGCTTTGGGCATTTCAGCATCGAAACCCACAAGGCAAATTGCAAGCTTCCTCCCAAGTCACTGCTTTGAAGAGTTTAGGGTGTCACAAGAAACAGCACAGAGGCAGGGCACAGAAATGTTTTTAACACCTGTGCCCTCTGAGACTGCTCAGAACACCGAAAGTACAAGCACTTCGGGTGCAGCGGGTGCACACAGTAGTCAGACCGTCTCCAGAGACTAACTTTGTTTGAAGTAAATGGTAAGCTTTGTTGCAAAAACAGAGGAGATGAAGAACACTTCTTTATATTTTAGAAAACTGGTTTTTATAGAGTCTACTAATATTTTTATTATTAAATAGTGTACTGAAAGTATAGATTGCTGATAAATTCTTAAGTAAAATTTTTGTTAATTTTGGTGATTCAAGAACTGTACTCTCTCCCCACCCCACCAAAGTGAGAACATTTCTGTTTATTCCTTCATAGTTCTCATTTTTCACAGTATTACAATCCTGCAGAATTTTCTCTGGTTTTCTTTCAGTTCTCTTAGGCTGAATGCTAAAAGAACAGGCTTTAAAAGGCCTCTGTGCTATCTTTCTCAAGTGTCCTCGGGGTTGAAATTTAAATGAAGATTTTGAGTCTTGTATATCCATAAAAGTGAAAGTAAATAAATGCTAACATTTGATTTCAGTAGTAGAATGTATGAAACTCATCATTTAATGGCCTTACCTACATCTACTAAGAATAATACTCTTGAAAATATGCCAGGGCACTTTTATTTTGATAGAAGCACTATAATTTCTGTAATTCTAATTTGGTGTGAACCAAGGCCAAAGAAAAGAAATGGAAGTGGCCTTTAAGGTCTAGTTAAAGGTTCCAACTAGAACTGATGGGGGAGGGGGCAGAAAGAGAGAGGGAGGATGGGGGTGGGGGCGGTGATGATGACATTTAAAGTTAGAGAAAGCTCCAGAACAGCTCTTATGCAAATCCCACGTTTAGTTGAATTGATTCTATTTACACAGGAACTGTCATGGATCTCTCTACCTTGTTTTTGTAAACATGGAAAATGAGTAAAAGAAAGGAAGAGAAGTAGGGGGAGAAGGTACAGAGAATAAGTAGCATAGATGGTGGGGAGAAAATAAGGGGAGGGCAAGAGTAGTATGGGAAATGTAGAAGCTCAAGAACTTATGACACACGGACATGAACTAAAGGGGGAAATGTCAGGGGAGAGGTGTACAGGGTAGAGGGGAATGAAGGGGGGAAATGGGACAACCATAATGGCATAATCAATAAAATATATTTTAAAAAAAAGAAAGGGGACAGGGCTTGAACTAGGTCATCCTGAGAAAGTGGTAGAGCCCACTGCCTGAGTGTGCACTGAGAAAGCATTCTCTTTTCCCATACGGACAGCAACGGAAGCACTGGGGAACTTTGTTCTCAATCAGAGCTTTGGGGCGCTTTATCTGTTTGTTGCCTCCATTTCTCTGACTTAGACCTCATGTTTGGATATGAAAAGATCCATTTCACAACCTGATTACATGGTTCGGTATGCTGTGATTTCTTAACCTGAAAAATATCAGTTACTCACTTGAAAGCATTGTGATTTTAAGTGTTTTACATATGTCATTTCCAATAAATTGTTAATACATTAACTATTATAAGAGATAAGAAGGGTTGTTACCCGGAGCTCAAGTTATCAGGGAAGGCTTCATGCAGGAAGAGGGAATGCAGCTTAGACAAATGAAGAAACTTCAACAGGACTTCTGGTAAAAAAAAAAAAAAAAATCAATGGGAGATAACCAAAGAACTTAAACTCACATCCCAATTATTAAAAATGAAATGGGTTGATGGCCACATAGCACTGTATGTATGAGGATGGATGAGGCCAGGGAAGAGAACCATGAGAATAGTTTTACTAAAAAGTCACAGTTGCAGGTAAAAGGGCACATGTACAGACACAACTGAAACAAGAGAACAAGAGAAGTCATAATATATAATAAGTGATGGAAGGTAGGCACCTAGCGCTACCATGAGATCCCAATTTAAGCAGACAGAACATTCTCCCAGGCATGTTTAAGAAAAAACTTCACTGGAGATTGAAGTTTCAGGCTGGCCTGAGAGACGTGTATCATTTCCCATTAGTGGAGAAGGGACGTCGAAGGAGAGGGAACTCCTGCTCAGTAGAACAACACAAGCAAACAGATGGAGAAGAGCAGATGTAACACATGCAGGAAAATCAACAGAGATTGCCTTGAGATTTGTCCTTGAGATCAAATAACTCCAAGGTCAAGCTTTTTGGGTAAAACAAAAAAAGCACTTAGGTTTCTATTACAGATTTTTTATTGGGCATATACTGTGTGCAGGACATTGTTCTAAGCAATGGGACTATACATAGACCTAAACAAAGCCAACAGACACCCTGCTTTCATGTTGCTTGTGCGACAGTCATCTAGTGATATCTCTAAGTCTGTGTGGTGGTTGTACTTTGTATTTACAAATTGTACTTTGTATAATACATATACTGGTTGTATTTAAAACCAGTATATGTATTATAAAATATTATATTCAAATGATTTAAGATTGGTAAACAGGAAACAAGGGGAAAGGAAAAAAGTAAACATCTCTTACACCCACCCAACTACCAATCCCTCTTTCTTGAATAACCACCACTGATGGATTCTTTCTTATTCTTCCAAAAATCCATTTATCTACAAATACATAGTATACACGTGTGAATATAGTAAACTCATAATTCTGCACCTTACTTTACTGACTTGACGGTATATCTGGGAGATTCTTCCATGCCAATACATGGTCATTCACCTATTCCTTTGAGGAGTCACATAGTATTCTATTGTATGACTGCTTCATAATGTATTTTACCTGTATGTAATGAAGAACACAATGTTTTTGTCTACAATTTTTCTCACTGTGCATGTCTAACAGTATATCTGTGGGGTAAACTCCTAGAGGAATTTTGTCAGTCAGCTTCCAAAGAGGTTGTACCAATATACCCTTGAGGATGTAAAAGTACAACCAACAAAGAGCCACCTCTGCACCACAATATGGAAAGAAAGAAAAGTGATAGATTATTATGTTGGCACAGCATAGCCCACATATATATATCAGGTTGAAATTCCACACAATTTATACAGCAAAGCAAAAGCAAAAACAAAAAAAATATGTCTCTTATCTCCTACAAAGGGTTAGATAAGGAGGTGACCCCAGAAGTTTTACATATCAAGGGACTCTGGGGTCTTCAGTGGTAAGGACATCTCTCTTACAAACCCCAAGACTGGGCTTCTCCAGCCCCCAAAGAGATTCATTTACTTTCTAAAAGGTTAGAGAAAATACAGTTGTCTCCATTTTCCCACCACCATTTTCCCCTGCCCTACCCACCCTCAATCCTACCCCGCTTTGGCTTTGTCCATGGGTCCTTTATACAAGTTCCTTGACGACCCTTTCCCTTCTTTCCCCCTTATCTCCCTCCCCTTCTTCCCACCTGGTGACTATCAGCTTGTTCTTTACTTCAATGTCTCTGGTTATGTTTTGCTTGCTTGTCTGTTTTGCTGATTAAGTTCCACTTATAGGCGAGATCATATGGTATTTGTTTTTAACTGCCTGGCTTATTTTACTTACCATAATACCCTCCAGTTCTAGGAGCTCCTTCTTTCTTCTGCACAGTATTCCATTGTGTAAATGTACCATAGTTTTTTGATCCATTCATTTAACTGATGAGCACTTAGTCTGTTTCCAGCACTTGGCTATTGTAAATAGCACTGCTATGAACATTGGGGTGCGCAGGTTCTTTTGAACTGGTGTTTTAGGATTCTCAGGGTATAATCCCAGCAGTGGAATTGTCAGGTCAAAGGCAGTTCCATTTTTAGTTTCTGAGGAGATTCCATATTGTTTTCCACAGCGGCTGCCCCAGTCTGCGTTCCCACCAGATCTCTAGGTTTTCTAGAGACCCTTTCTAGAAAGAAAAGAAAGCAGCTGCCTCCTTTCTCTTTATAATCAAAGAAAATTCCTTTTTTTAGACAATGTATCCATGCCAAGCAAGCAACTGAATGCCTGTTTAAGGGTAGTGACTAGAGTGGTGATATGGGGGTTTGTTTGTTTGTTTACTTTTAAGTTCAAATAAAATTAAGAGTTGAGTTGAACTGTCCTGTGACACTTCCCTCTACCCAAGTTACCCTCTTTCATGCATTTATCAGTGAATAAAATCCTCTGAAAATCTCAGGATCTAAGCCCTGTGATAGGCTGTGATGGGAGGAGCAAACAAACAGGGCAGAACTTCTGTTTGCTTGGAATTCTCTAGACTGAAGAGTGAGGCCCAAATATCCACAAGCTTGAGTTCAGGGCAGAATGGTACAGAATGCTACAGACCACAGGAGAGGAAGACAATTTCTGCTTAGAGATAGGGGTTAACAAAAGAGCTGGAATGAAAGCTGAGCCTCTTCTAAGGGTTAGAAGAATCACATTTTATG